TGGGATTACAGGCACGCGCCACCATGCCCAGCTAATTTTTTGTATTTTTAGTAGAGACAGGGTTTCACCGTGTTGACCAGGATGGTCTCGATCTCTTGACCTCGCGATCCACCCGAGTTCCTGAAAAAATTGGATTAGGAATTTAATTCCTGAGGGAGTAAGAGTTGCCTTTTGTATAATCAGCATCAGAGTACTATATGAAAGTACAGTTTACAAAACAATAGAAAAACTGTTAAAATGAAATTACTCAATGTATATTAAAAAGCTAAATATGTAATGGATTGAATTATTTAATTTGCATGATGAGTCAGTTGATTTATCAAAATGAAAATAGTCATTTTGGGTAGTATAAATGGCATAAAGATGTGATTGATAATACTTGAAGAATAGAGAATGAATAAATTTTCATTAGCAAAAACCTTTTTGTGGCATAATTTGCAGGTAAATATTTTGTACATTCTGTATTGCAGATAATGTCAATGCATCCCAGATACATATCTTTCCTTTGGCAAGTTGCAGACTTAGGTAGCAACCTGAATATGCCACTTCTTAGAGATGGAGCAAGAGTAGTCATGCACCTTATGCCACCAGGTAAGAAAATTGGCTATCCTTCTGTTCCAAAGAAAGAATGCTGATAACTAGGTGATGGACAAAAGAGAGAATGTTAAATTCTGTTCACAAATAAAATATACATTGTGGAATAGTCTATAATATTGATCATGTGTCTTTCATTCTATTACTGATGAAAATATTTTCGTGATGGGAAAATATTTAAGATCATGTAATTTTCATGAAATACTTTCAGAAAACTAATATGTCAGAAAGTCTCAGGGTTCTCCCCATGAAGAACAATGCTTTCTTACCTGTCAAAGAATTGCCTTCAAGGTTTAACCAATAAAATGGATATGCCATTTTTTTTTGTAAGCACTACGCCCATGCTATTTTTGTGTGTCAAGTTTTAGATGTTAAAGTAGTGATTTGTGAAATGTATTTTTTATACTTTTCCACATCTTTACTCTCTGGTCATTTCACAGTTTTTTTGTTGAAATCTATTATATACACTCATTTGTAAGACAATATGAAAATACTGCTGTCTCCTAAGTTATTTATACCTGATTATACTAGATTTTAATATTGCCTCTATCATTTGCTTGTTTTTCTATGGTGTGAATTACTAAATTTTCTTATATTCATTCCAGTAACTTCTTAAAACAATTGTTCACATGGTCAGATGTGTTGTATTATGTTTCCATGGAATATTTTCTCTTCGTGCTCCCATGTGCTTTGTTCTCTTTGACACAGCTATCATTCTGAGACTCTGTATACAGTTTTATTTATGGTGATCTACTGGTGTTCGGGTTCTCCTTAGTCTTGCAGCTTAGTCACTCTTCATCTTGCTGAAGCACACCCTCTAAAAATTGATGCATGGAAAACAAGAATGTTTTGTTAAGGCATTTCTTATCTGAATGAACCTACATACAATAGTTTATTATTTAG